TGACCAGGTCGCTCTTGGCACATACAGGGCGGGCAGCTGTCCGTTGTCCTCCTAGGGAGTAACGGACTACATACCGGGTCTAGTTTTATGACAACGGACTATATACCGGGGATATAGCTTTAAGGACCTTGCACAGCTGGAATGCACGATTCAGTTTATTTCCCGGGGCCACAGCTCCTCAGATATACTAAATTCACCGCCCCTTGCATCAAGTACTTTCGTCTACCAATAATTGGTTCACAGGGACACGAGCTCATGGCCGTTCCTACAGAGGAGGCCCATATATTTATCAAACTGGGGACGAGGTAACGGACGTCCCGGTTTTCCAAATTGTTTGATAGTGATAAAGCTAGCTAGCTACACTGCAGTATCTGTTAACAGTGAGCTGTTTTAGGCTTCCCGGTTCCGAATTTCTCTGGCTGGCTCATTGTTTAGGCTAGAGCAGAGTTATGGGCACTGCTTTCTGTTTTTCGGACAGTAAACACCGTGCCTAGAACTCTCCTCGCACTGAGACATGACGCTCGTAATTTGGAATTCACTATGACGTTGCACTCTAACACATGTTTTATCCCTTTGTTTTGTTAAGCTGTGACTGCTTACAAGCCGTTAGGAAACTAAAGTCTGTGATCTTGTTTCATATCGAATAATTTGTCAGTAGAGCCACAGTTCCGAAAAGGGGTCAGCATATTGTTTCAAAAAAGGTCGGCATGTTGTTTCGACAGCCTTAATGTATAAACGTCATTTATGGCCAACCCCGAGAGAACGGTTGCATATTGACTCAGAGTAATATGCACTCGATCGCTCCGACACCAACACAAAAATGCATAGTATGTATGTTTGGTTAGAGGTATAGCTAATCGCCTTAATTCCGTACTTACTTAACTAAAGGCCAAATGTTCAAGAGTGTAGAAGGACTCATTTGCCGCATGAACGACATGTCGTGTGAATAAATAGTTGGACATCCTAGTCAGGCCTGTCTCCCGCGTGCATGATAATAGGCTGCGCATTTTCGTGAAAATCTTTAGGGGTGTATGCCCCTTTTGCGATTATGTCGCGCGAGTGGACCGGGGGTAGATACCTGAACAGAATCAATTAATTTTAGCTTGAGGCTGTGCAAAGGCGGTTGCCAAGATCCGGTTCTGATGGTAGGCACTAGGCCAAAAGCAACCTAGCAGGCGCACTGTCATTGGTAAATTAACTCCCGGACAATAATAACTCTTGTGGTACTGTACCTTACATATAGAGCCTCATTGCAACTTTAGGTGTAGAAACGAAATTATTCGCTCACCTGCTGATGGCGGATCCTGCGAGTAGATGACAGTATAATGCTGCACTGTCGGATCAGTAAACTCTGAGTACTACATGTGGTACCGATTGCGCTAAAATCACAGTATGAGCTCATCCCGCGAGCGAGTATAAATTGCGGAATTTCCCTCATTGGCATTTGAGCACGCGCAGTCGCACATCGTATTTCGACTTTCGTGGAAGTTGCCAGTCCTGGGAGACTTCTTCTGTAGAAAATCGTCACCAACAGAGGACGCAGTCTAGTGGGTTATTCGCGAGAGCAAACAACCGGCCTGGAACTGTGGAAACAGCAGAATTGCACATTCCCGGCTGTTGGCGTTAATCCAGACGGTCTATAGGCACATGTATGCATGAATCACAGCGGACTCTGGGTATGCAACGTAATTCATTTTTTCATCAATTTCGGCAAGCCTGCGTCTATTCGTATCCGTTTAAAAACAAAGGAAAGAAACAAAAGAAAGAAGAAATTTCGAAAAAATTACTATTCGTAACGACCTCCGGGCCGCCGCCGTCAACACTACATGCATTCATGTAAAATTAAGTGACTCTATTGATGAATTAGAAAATAAATCCCATGGAATGAAGACGCGAACAGAAAGACTCACTTTCAAGGCTCAGAAAAATAATTATACCGGTTCCTAAAGATGACAACCGTTCCCTTTGTGTGGTTGCCGTTTTATCCTTGTCTAGTAAATCGCGCTGTCAATCTTTTAAGAATTCGTTTGAGAGTACCCCCTTCGTACGCGTTCGCTGCCGCCAAATTGGTTTTGATTACAGCTGGTACTTCCTCCGTATTACTAGCTTCCGGAATGCCGCCTCCATTCCCCATGATATCTCCCGCCGTCCGATCTTCATTCTCCAATTGTTCTGAAACCTTGATACGTTGTTCGATATCCTCAAGGGTAGGGATGACAAATTTCTTCAATCGCATCAAAAGACTTTGTAAACTTTTGGGCGATGAAGTTGAAAGAATGTCCCATATTTTTTGCCAGTACTCTGAGTCCTCTTGTGAGGTTGGAGTAACTATCCGCTTGATCTCGTTTGCTACCTGAAGAATAGTAGCCCAAAAACCTTCGTAGATAGGATGAGAAGTAGGCTCTATATTCAGAGAACTCAGGATCTGGAGGAGTTGATCTCGGAAGGATTTTTGAAGAGATTGTGACTTGAGAAATTCCTGAGATGAGAAAACGAGTCAATAAGTCGGGCATGCTAAGTATAAATATAAATGACTATTGAAAAGTTTTGATTCGTAGTACATACCTCGACGTCTTTGACCTCTGAGATCCTGGCTTTTAGAGCCTCTATATCCTTTTCTGCGTTCCGAAATATTTCCCAGCCTTCATCAAGATATTTCCTAGCATCCCGGCGTAGTTGCAAAATCTCCACAGATTGGTCATCGCCATATATAGTGCGAGACGTTAGAAGTGAATCTATAGCAACCAACTCGCGTAGTTCTTCTTTGAGGAGAACGATTTCAACTGGCCTGCACCAAACTCGTGGTAGTAGCTCTTCCAAGGTCCAGGGCTCGTAGTTTGCATCCCGAGAGTACTCTGCTGGCACAACATGCGAGTGCTCGACGACTACGAGGTCAACGTCACTTCGATCTGTTTGTTGGTTTCTGGAAAAGGAACCAAAGACGCCAATCCATAGAATATTTTTGAAATCAGGTAGAGATAGGGCCTCTTTGGAAGAGGTTCTTAGGTCGGCGATGTCCCGACTGCGTCCAAAATAGTAGACGCTGACCATCATTAGAACCTATCGAGCAACGTCAGATGACTGAATTCTCTCTTCATTAAAGGGTAGGAATCGCCCACCTATGTAGACCTTGAGCTTTGTCAAATGGCTCGACACATTGATACATGTATGTACGAGCGTATAACTAAATTTCCTGGCGAGCTATGAATTAGGTCGTCTCATTGAAAAACTCTGTGTTGTGGGTCTGAGTTGGGTGTTGCATGGTGGGGCTTAGTTTTACCAATTTGAGTTTGGCTAATTTCAATGGAATCCCAGGCCCGATCAGGTGGAATTTAAGGCGTCATTTCATTTCCATTCTAATGTAAACAGGAGCTTTATTTAGGTTAAAAAGGTAAAGCGTAAAAGAAACAATTGTAAGCGGACGAACGTTCAGTATAACAGGGTTCCGATCGCAAGGCTGTACATGTTACAAATAACCCTTGTATCGATGCCCCTATTGCTCTCCCGCAACCAAAATACATAGTAAAGAACGGTGCAGCTAAATGTGACTGTCTATTGACCAAAGGTCGAAAGTGAAGAGAAATTTAATATGAAGGCCGCTCAAACAAAATCGATGACGTAGAGTAGTCTCATGCGAGAGGCTCAGTGCGCTACTGTTAGGCAACAGCGGTCCGGACCACCTGTTACCGTTCCTACCCCGAGTTATTACTTACGGGATACGCGGAAATTTCTCCAAGGCTGAAGGTTTAACGAATCTCCATGATGTCCTGCCGCGGGTGGGGCCGGACGCCCCATGCAAACGAAAAACACAAGTGGTCATTACATGTATGTATGTATGGACGTACTACATGCGCACCCGATACATATACTCTTTATTTCACGACGTTTCCGGACTGAACTGGGTCCGCATGAGCCCACAGGAGCCCACAGGAGCCCGCATATGCATCTTTTTGACCTGCATACATGAGAAGTGCCTGAGTACTCTACGCCTAGTAATTGTAATTATTTCCGCCCCCATCCGCAATACAAGCTTCTATCCTACGGGGCATCGACATAATGTGTCTATTGATTCTCTCAACTGAGTATTGTTTCCACTCCTCTTCAATAACATCTCTGATTCCTCTAGCAGTAAAATTCCAACCTAACTTGACTTTAATACTGTCCTTCATCTCATTCCAGATAGCCTCAATTGGGTTCAAATCAGGCGAATTGGCTGGCCATTCCAGCCTATTTAACCCTGCCCGACGTCTAAAGATTTCCTGATACTGATGGCTATGTGCAGGTGCGTTGTCCTCCATTATAATGACGTTAGGGTTGGTTGTTTCTCTGGCAAGTATAGCGAGAGGGAAAAGAAGGGGGTACATAATTCTCTCCCTATATATGTACCAGTCGATACCGCCCTTCCTATTCTTTTTTCTCTCGAATAATTGAGGTAAAATACCTGGCTCGATGGGTTGAAGAACTTCAGAGTCATATTCAGTCTGTAGGGCAACAAGAGCTGCAGTTTGTTCACGGGAGGTCTCATATGGGGTTCGATATACGTGGTATGGTAGTTCTGATCCTACAAGAGCTATTAGTACTCGTAATAAATTAGGGGTTTATATTTTATATTTACCCGCATATCTGTAGAGAATAGCTCCCCAAAACATTACAGTAGCACCGCCATGAAACTTTCTATTCATATTACGTGGTACAAATGCCTCTCCTGCCCATCTTAATACCCCTCTAGCTCTACGTTCTCGTAGATTGCTAGTCTCAAAATAGCTCTCATCGGTGAATATAACGTCTTTCCAATCCAAATATCGATTACGTAGGCAAAAGGCAAGTCGGTTTGCCTTATGTATTTCATTCATTAATGGCTTTTTTGTAGGCTTGCAGCGGTGGATTCCATCTCCCACTAACGTCTTGTTTATTGTGTTGATACATACATTCAGTCCAGCTAGTACGAATAGAATCAGCATAGTAACTATTTAAAACAGAGTAAAGACAGTATAGACCATCTACCACAAAACTTGTACGATTGAATTGATGATACCTTTAGCAGTCAACTCGCTTAGTGACATACGGCAATGGGTAGCATCAGAAAGGGTGAGTGCTATTAATCTCCTCTCTTCTTCAGGTGTCAAGATCTTATTATGACCTTTTCTTGAAGTCGGATCAGGGACAAGGTTTTGTTGAGAGCAAAGGTCGGGGTCTCCGGTTTCCAATGACTTCTGCTTCGCCTTGATGATGAGATCCGAGCAGATGGATTTAGGGACTCCTGTCAGCATAGAGATCTCCGTCAATTTCATTTTCCTATCACTTGTAAGTGCCGCGTACCCAAGTACCTGGCCCCGCTTACTAGGTGATGTCGTCCCTCCTTTTTTGATGAACGGAATCTTGTTAATGTTAGTCTAGAGTATCATCACAACAAACACCGGAGAAGTCACACTTCAATTGACAGCACACGCGCCCTGACCTCCTATTGGCTCATGCATCTACCTGCAGGCTCATTCGGACCCAGTTCAGTCCAGAAACGTCGTGAAATAAAGAGTACTCGTAGGATCATGATGTTTCCGAACACGACTGGGTCCGCATGAGCCTGCATATGACCTGCATTTCAGCTGTTGGCCTCGAGTGAATATCAGAGCCGTGAACTCTCTGTCGAAGCCGTGAACTACCTGTCAAATCCGTGAACTCTTTGAAGTGCCGGTCAATGCCGTGAAGTTCCACTCAACGCCAGTCCACGCCAGTCCACGCCAGTCCACGCCAGTCCACGCCAGTCCACGCCAGTCCACGCCAGTCCACGCCAGTCCACGCCAATTAACGCCAGTCAACGCCATGATCTGAAGAAAAACTACGACGTCCTTCACGAAAAAGGGGCAGATATTGGGGTATACAATATTAGAAGGCGACCATAGAATGACTATAAGGCAAATCTCGGAGAGATGTGCTGTTCCGGTCTCAACCTACTCGGATATAATCAATCAGGTGAAACAGAAAGTCAGGGTTACAGGAATCCCTGATCTATGTGCTATTGAAAACCTGAAGCCCAATCTCAACTCCCAAAGAGATTCTAACAAGGTTTTATTTGTGGAGGATGAATAGAGATTGATAGAACTAGCTTTGAGTGATGTGATATATTATCGGATGCCTTTGGGTAAACTAGGAGCAGAAGATAATCCTAACCGTTATATATTCTTTTCTTGTTTGGATCAAATCTAATAAATTTTAAGCCAGTTTAGATGTGTGTGTTAATACAATAAGGAATGCTCTAGCATCTGACAATATTCATCGCCGAAAACCTAGTATTAAGCCTTTAATGAGCGATAGACACAAAACAGATAGACTTGCATTCTGCCTCAAGTACTGCGATTTAGATTGGCAAGATGTTATTTTCACCGATGAGACTTATTTTGAGACAAGCAACCTACGAGAAAGACAATTTAAGAGTGTTTTAAGAAGGCCGAGCGAAGCCCATATTGATCGGAATATGGATCGCAAGTTTATAGGAGGAGCATCAGTTATGTCCTGGAGTGCAATTGCCCATAGCTATTCTGGGCTGGAATTGCCTATTCATTTATACAAATCACAATACGAAACTATGTAGGAGAGAGTAGATGCAGTTCAGGGCTTTAAAAGAGAGTTTGAAGCTGAGGTTAGGCAATACGAATGGCTACAAGAAATGAATTTGTTAGAAGAACAACCTGTACCTGAACTACAAACAAGAAATGCGGACAGGAAAGGTGGAAGAGATTGGTATATATACATGTTACGGGCTGAATCGAGAAAACTAGGATGAGGTTCGGAGGTTCTCGGTAAGGGAACAGTAGAAGCTGAGTCAGGTTTATGTAGTTGAAAACTCTTCACCTCGTGTGGAGTCAGGGTCAGGGTTCGGAATGATCGGGTTTGACACCAATAGATACTAGATGAAGTTTCCTAACGATAGAATATCGAATGAAACGAACGAGAACAGGATTGAATACTTCAAGTTACATGGAGTGAGGGCAAGACTAGGACTGGGACCAAAGGATACAACCAAGAGGTTATATGACTTGGATTCATAGCGGTTCAAGGACAGAAAATAGAATGTATTCCTATATAACAGGAAGTTCGGATAAGGAGAAAAGAAAGAAAGAACAAAGGGAAATTACAGCCATATATATATCATCCAAAACTTGATGACTAATTTGCGTAATAGAAACTCATAAAAGAAAACCCAAACATTACCGAAATCCCAAAAAAGAAACAACAAACAAAAAAACCCAATTACTAATCACTCTCCTTCCCGAACTTCCTCCTTACTCACACTACGCCGTTACAATACAGAGGGCGAATCCTGTATCCTGGCCTCTTTCCTTTTGCTTTAAGGGTCAAAGAAACATGGAATGGAGTAATAATCATGTAGGATAATGCAACTGCTCATAAGCATCGCTATCAGTAGGAATTCAGAAGACGGGTAGGTCTACAAAAACTGGAATGGCCAGCAAATTTGCCTGACTTGACCCCTATCGAGACAATATGGAATGAATTGAAAGATAGTATCAAGAGAAGGTTAGATTAGAATTTTACTGCCAGGGAGATCAGAGCAGTTGTTGAAGACGAGAGGAGAAGGTATCCTGTCGAGAGAATCAATGCGCATATCATGTATATGCAACGGCGCATTGAGGCTTGTATTGCTTGTCACGGAGGAAATAACTTTAACTACTAGAGTTCGTACACTTGAACTCCTTTCTGTCAAGTGTTCGTGAGCCTGAACTCCCCATGAACCCCCAGGACATACCCACGTGTGGGTTCAATGATCCACAAAACATGTTTGTGTACGTATCAAATCGCTCTCCTGCCATCTAGTGGGAGTAGAATCTGGCTGCCAGGCAAACTACGATTTAGCAGAGTCAAGGGTAGGTATTGAGAAAAATGTTGTGGGGGATTTAAAAAAGAGAATTATAATGACACTTGGCAACCGAGTATGTATTTGGATAGTGTGTCCCGCAGCATCTGCAACAAGTGTCAACAAACTCTTTTCTACTTTGTTCTTTACAGACCTGAGCTGAAAGACTAATTAATGATTAGAAAATTGATATTTTACCAGCTAAATTATAATATTAAACTAGTTCGATAAGGTAATGATTTCATTCCGTTCTAAATCATAGCAGTTTTTTATAGGTATTTTTAATGAAAGTATCCTATTTGGCTTGCTCGTAAATATAAATAATTTGATTTATTCTCTTCCTAAAATATAGAAGATTGATATAATATTAAGAAATATTTGAGAACAGTTGGGAGATAGTCTTTTGAAATCTGCAAATAATATATAGGTATCATATTGATGTATTATACCTGTTGAGTATTTTATTTTGCAATAACTTGAAGAAATCTAGCTGCTAATAAAAATACGTGACCGTCTTTAGTCTCATATAAAGATAGTTCGAAAATTAATTTTAATTAGGATATTGAAATATGTAAATCTTTTAAAAACTTTAATCTTTTCACTCCAAATTTATTGCATAAAAGAGCTCTGATAATCTTATCATTCTGAAGTTCTTAATTACATTATATATTTTACCTATTTCCTTAAATTTTTTGACTTTAAGATATGACTCTCAAGGGGGTGAGTGGCGAATAGTCCGCAGGGTACGAAGGGTGTAGTGGGGATCGGTGTGGAAACTCGCAATAGGGGTCCTAAGGGACTCTAGCGTCGGTAAGGGTCAAAGGGACAAGGGTCGGCGAATCGGTGGTCTTCTGGAGTAAAGTAGAGGAGGATAATATTGTAGAGTAATGAACGGCGTAGAGTAATAGACAGCGTAGATACAGAAGCCGTTGCGTAAGGAAAGAAAGAAAGAGAAAAAGAACAAGAAATAAGAACGAACCCCCTAATATACCCAAGAAAATCCCAGCGATGACAAATCCCAAGTGACTCATACATTAACGATCAACAGAATACGGTAGAATCCAATAGAATCTTTCTGACTAATCCAACTCCTCGTAACCTAGTACATTCCCTAATCAATACATGAAAATGACAGAGTCAATCTTATTATTATTTAAACCAATCTTTACGAGTGCATTACTTTCATTATAATATCAATCCTACATAGTATGGACCATATCTACTATTTTTAGTATATCGAGTGGATGCTATATATTAAATTTTCAATACTCAGTAATATTACTTCTGTCCGTTTCACAACTGCGAGTTGTCACTTTCGATATCTCAAATTAATACTAGCTTTCTTTCCAGCTCCTCTGCCAGCTTCTTTAACAACTCGGTTTGCTTCACTTTCAGCTTTTCTTACTAAAAAGAAGAGAATATGAGCCTTACCATTTCCGATTAAAAAAACATAATTTTAAACAACAGCGAGGAGCAACTTCCTATTCTTTCTTTAAGCTTTTTTGTTTATATTATATGATACCTGCTTTGTAGAATATTACTCCTCATTATAATACTTTTCTATATAACTCACCTATCAGATTTATTGAAATAGTACATTATCACTCAAGCCAGCCCTTGGAACATTTATTATCGCATAACCTCTTAAAGTGTATTACTACCAGTTAGAACTGGTTGTACAGTTGGGTCGTAAATTTGACAAGTTTTATCTGTCCAAGAAATAGCTCTCCTATTAGGTCGGGAGATTCTGTAACCCATGAGACTTATCAATAGAATAGAGAGAGTCAAAAACTCCTAAACTTTGCTCTTATTGGACTGAACTTTTTCTTATAGAGTAAGCTATGGAGTTGCATTAAAGTATTCTAAAAAATACATTTTATTATTGAAAACTTATTATAGTTTTTCAAACCGCCAAATCACTCTATTTTTGCGTTAATGAATTTTTGGGAAATCAGTTCAATTCTTAAGTGCAAAATATATTAAAGTTTTTTTCCATATATCAGCAAGCTCACATATTACTAAGAATGCAGCTCCTTCGTACTAGTGGGTCTCCTGCATCTCGAGCGCCTACCGCGTCTGGCACTGTCAGTGTACACCGCTCGTGCCCGGCTCCTTCCTAGGAGTGCCTAACCTTCCGGCACTGCTAGGAGATATGGCTCACGTCCGAAGAGCACTCACCAATGCTCTGCTCACTTTGGCTGCCATGAGATTACCTCCTTTTTTGGAGATGTTAGGATAGAATGACTCCGCCCACAGTACCTATGGAACTTTTGTTTCTCTTGATTATGTTAGTAGTACCACTCAAGCATTTCTCAATTCTCTCACAGTTTTGTTAAATGCTCTCAAGGTACGACAAATGCTCTCACAGCACGGTGAATCTTCTCACGATACCAAGAATGCACCCACAAATGCTCTTACAGCACGGTGAATCTTCTCACGACACCACGAATGAACCCACAAATGCTCCTGTGAATGCTCTTGCGAATTCTCTCGCAAATGCTCATGTGAAAGCTCTCGCGAATGCTCACTCAAATGCTCACTTGAATACTTCCGTTAATGTTCATCCAAATGGTTACGTAAGTGCTCCCATGAGTGATACCAGAGCACCTACAATGCTCACAGAGGTGAGATATTCATTATATATACGCAAGGTGAGGCAACACTCACTTTGCTCCATTGGGATTAATACACCATCATCAAAGGATAGGAAGACACCAGTCCCTCAAATGATATCCAACGTGGGTATCCTCAATGCCGCTGTACAGTCAGTCGCAGGATACTGATATGAGCACTGTCCTATATACTGGTGACGACTAGCCAATCTTTGACAGAGGTGTATGTTTCTGTGAAAGGTATAAGTAGCTTTGATGTCAAGGCCATAGTACGATTTATCTGAAAAGCTCAATGTCCATGCTTAAGCAGCAAACATGGATTGGTATTGCCATTCTAGAGTGAGTTTGCTAGACAGCCAGACTCAAATACTGAGTAGCCGAAACTTTACCTCCTTTTTCCAAGCTGCATGCATAGCAGAACGAAATGAATTTTGAAATACAGAGTCGAACTGGATCTAATGTTCCTCGAGTACTCACAAATACTCTCACAGCTTTGCAAGCAATCAACTATATTCATTCCATGTATGCAAATCTATCGTAGTATTTACCAATCAACTACCAGCCTCCAATTCAAACAAATAAGTCATTCCCAATATACTCCGAATATTAACGATCTGTATCCTCTTCCTACTCCCCTCTACAAACCTTCAGGAGATTATTTGAGCTATCAGTGATACCACGATCCTTTGCCTTGAGTAGCTCCACTATAAATAGTCTATGTGCTGGCCCATATTGTCTCCCAGCTCAGCTAAAGCCTTTAAACGTCCTGATAAGCATCTCCGAAACACTCCAACTTCTCTGAGGATATGACCGATACCCATAGCCAATTCTTTCTTATTTTCCCTTTACTAAAAGCCTTTCATAGATCGATTAGTTAATACACTGGGTTACGAGGAGTTGGATTAGTCAGAAAGGTTCTATTGGGTTCTATCGAGTTCTGTCAGTCGTTAATGTATGAGTCACTTTGGATTTGTCATTACTGGGATTTCCTTGGGTATATTAGGAGAGTTCGCCTTCATTTCTTGTTCCTTTTTCTTTCCTTTGTTTTTTTACGCAACGTCTTCTGTACTTACTCTCTCTATTACTATACAATATTATTTCCTTCTTCTGTACTCAAGAAGACCACCGTTCACTGCCATTTTGTCCCTTTGACGCTTACCGACGCTAGAGTCCTTCAGAACACCTATTGCAAGTTCCCACACCGACCTCTACTATCCCCTTCGTACCCTGCGGAATACTCGCTACTCACCCCCTTGAGAAAGCGGCGATTCCCGTACACTTAATATTGTAAACCTCGTACACCTCAAGTCTTTGGAAGATTGATACCGGAACCTGTAAACATAGGAATATCTTTATCCGACACTGTAAAATACTCTCAGAGATTCCGGCAAAGCTTTGAGAGCATCCAACATCCTCTGCATACTTATTTATCAGGTGATATAATATGGTATGGCTTATTTGCAGTCCATCCACAATATTGGAAAGTCTTTCTGATTTCATGGAGGGGTTGCAAATGCACCTTAGAGGCAACCTGTTACGGCATGCCAGGTATCTATCAGAGCAAAAGAAGGGCAAATAGATACTCCTCATATCCTCTCACACTGATGGGAATACTACAATCTACTCTGGTTCGAATCCAAAAGATGCTGTGCGATCGATACTCGACCAAAAGTACAAATGCAGTTTCCCTAGTTAAAAAACATGTTTTTGACCCCAATAATAACCCTCAGAGTATCAAACCATCGGAATAGACTGCTTTTGGACCGGTGGATCTATGAGAGGCAATTGGAAACAATCGGATCGAAGATCAGACAACTCGGAGAAGATCAGCGCAAGCTACTAGCTGATTGAGTACCTGTTGGTGGTACCTGTAGGCATGAGAGGGCTCTACTATATGGGAAAGCGATACGGGAAGAGTCTTGAGTAGAGAGTCTTGCCATTCAGTATCTGTGAGTAGTCGACACTGATAATTATCCAGCAGACGAAGGGAGCATATTGACGGTAACTTGCATGAAAATGGGTTGACGATTGAGGGGTTTCAGTAGACTTAGGAGTTTGGGTTACGGATTTAGGAGTTAAAAGTTCTTGATTGTTTCTCAGTGTATTGAGTAGGCTCCGAGTGTATTCTGTACCATTAGTATATTGAGTCCTCGAGACATACGCGAGAGATATAGATAAGGTATTATTCACTGAGTAGCCAAACCATCATCGGCAAAATCAGAGTCCTAACAATATAAATTATTGATACGCGAGTTACCACTCTATTTGACTTTACTATTCTATATACTCTACTCTATCGTGATTTCGTAATCTACTTGAACTACTATGTCGAAGAACGTCAATTACCATCGCTAACTCTAGTGAATGTTTGTTGATAATGTAGCTCGTGGGGCCCGTATCAGACTAAGGAGATTTCTACTCAATGTTGACTGAAGAGACCTTGGAGACTTCTATCTTTGTAGCTGTTAGTCAAACTCTGAGCTTTGCGTAGTGTACTCTTGTGGCCTGGTACGCATTCCTCACAGCCCATGATGAAGTGATTAATGCCCAGCTTCGTGGCATAGACCCTAAAGAGGAGGGGAAGGAGGAAGAAGAGGAGCTGGAATTACCTGTAGTGGGAGATTACGAAAGGGGGGGGGAGCAGGATGTGTAGAAGAATCGCGAAGCAAAAGGAGATAGTGGGGGATTTGTTCTTTTCCGTATATTGTATTAGACTTAGGATTTTAAATTGCATATTGTATTTAGTATTAGGTAGAGGATCATGTTGTTGAATACATCAATTCTCAAAGTGCATTCTTGAGTGCTCTGGAGGCAGTAGAGATCATCGTTTAAGTGATGTTTTGGTAATCTCATAGGGAATTTGTAAATACCAGAGGCTGATATGGCAGAGAGGTGTATATCTGGAGAGAATGGGGTGCCAACATATAGGAATCGGTACATCAGGCGTGAGCCAGGTTTTAAATCACCTGATCCAGCAACGTCAGGAGGGGTTAGGGCAATCATTCTATCTCAGGACCCGCTGGAGCAGTCAGGATATACCAGCAAGTAACTGGCATTCTCTGGTGGCTGGACTGATGTCTGAGTTGCAATGAACACTAGTATTAGGTGTCGGGGCACATTAGGTGGGCTAGTCTGCGCTGGGGCTGACAACTGTATGCCAGAACTCGACAGCAGCGATTGCCATATCTCTGTAGAGGTAGTTTACCTACCGAGCACCCTGAGTGCCCTGACCACCCCCGGCGTCTGGTGAAGGGTACAGGTTTGCTGATATATAAATTAATTTTGATATAATTGCATTTTTTGATGGACAGTTTATTGTAGCTTTTCTGTTTCTGCTATTAGTTATTTACTTTGAGCGGGTTCAAATCAGAAGAATGTTCCTATTAAATAAGTCTGTAGACTTGGAATAGAGCATGGAAAATGGTTGTCAAGGAACACAATATAGGTGAAAGGCTGTTACATATACCTTTGGATTTGGACGAAAGTATAAACTATGGTTGCCAAGGAATACAAATGAGGTAGAGAATGTGGACTTAAACTATGGACTATGGAAATACTTAAGTGGGCTATCTAAATCCCAGGCTTCAGTTGGTCCAACTCTGTGTAATGTAGAACGAAGATAGTATTGTAAGCTAACAATACAGAGAGAACGAAGAAGATTGCATAAAGAGAAAAGAGAGAAACAGAATATCAACAAAAGACAGAACCCCTTTATATATCCAATAACCCCAGTCGGAGTATAACTCACACTCATACAATAGAAACCCATAGAACTTAAAAGAAACCTATATTACTAATCCTAACCTTGTTGTCAAGTACTTCCTCTTTACGACTTAAAACAATATTCGACCATGATACCAATATGTGTAATGGCAGCTATGGATTTCTGTTAGGTGATACACTGGAACGGGAAGCGGAGGTATTGTGCAGTGGGATTAGGATTTATAATGGGGATTTCTATTATGTTCTTTTGGTTTCTGTTACGTGGAGGGAGTAGTCATCATTGGATTATGGTTGGATATATAAGGGGGCGTTGTCTTGTGCTTTTGTTTGTTTTCTCTCTTTCCTTCTTTCTTTACGCAACCTTTGTATTCTACTTCACGAATATTATTCTTGTTCTACGCTACGTCATAGGGTTCAGTTTGATTGTCAGATCAAACAGAGCCACCCCATAGTCCATAGTCACGAACATCTTCTACTACGTTCTTGCCTCGGTTGTATTCCTTGACATCATAGTTTCTTGCCCATAGACCCACGTTATACGTAGGTTGCGTCCTCTATCGCCAACCAATACAACACCATAGTCTACAATGTCGGAACATGTTCATGTCGATTATCAACAACTCAACGATAACCTCCAAAGATTTTTTCAAGCGCATCCACAGGTCGATAATGTTGTCGGAACTGAAGCCTATGCGCTTCTTCAACAGTGTCAACATAGTCTTACTCAATATGCAACGGATTTACAGGAGGTAGAATCGGAGGCTGAAAGGGCAAGGAGGATGTTTGAACGAGATCTTGCTGCTGCCCAAGCTCAACGAACTGCTGTTGAGGTTGTGGCCCCTGACGAAGAACCCATTGGAAACAATGCTCCACCTGTACCCCCAGTACCACCAGTTACAGGCAACGTCTATCGGTCGGAAAAACTCCCAGATCCTGAGGTGTTCAGGGGGGATTGTGATCGGGACAGGCTACACTTGTTCAAGCAACCAATGAAAATCAAGCTACTGGAAAATACCGATCGCTATCCTACACTACAGTCTAAATTATCCTATATGTTTAGCAGATTGGAAGGCGTTGCTGCCAATCAGTTTCTACAGTATGTCGGAGAAGAAGGTATTGCCTTACCTTCTGTGCTACAGTTTTATGAAATTTTGGATACAGCCTTTGAGGACCCCGATGGAATACATACAGCTAGAAGGAACCTTCAGAATATCCGTCAACGAATTCGAACCTTTGCTGACTATTTCACTCAATTTCAACGGTATGCTGCTGAGTCGGGTATGGATGAAGCCTCTCGGATTGAGGCTTTGATGGAAGGTATTAATGCGGAACTCGATGAATCAATGATACACCATGAAACTACTGCGACGGTAGATGCCTGTGCGACACTTTTGCAACGGTTGGATAATCGTCGTTGAGCGGCAGAAGCTAAACGAGGAAATAAAAAACCTTGGAATGCTACTACTATTACTCCGGCCCCTCGTCCCCCACCAGTGAATCCTGTTTCTGCTCCTCATGCTACCGCCCCAGTCGCTAATGCACCTGCTACTGAAAATCATCCCTCATTCCGCCCATGGGGTGATGTACCAATGGATCTATCTGGAGGATGTCGTCACCCCACCACTGCCGAAAGAAATGCCCGCTTAGTTGAGGGCCGATGTTTCTATTGCGGAGGTGTTGGACATATGGTTAGGGATTGCCCCCAAGCAAAGGCAACTGGAAATCAACCAAGGAGACCTGTGATGAGAGGAGCGGCATTGACGGTGGAAGAAAATGCCGGAAGCGATAACGAGTCGGCAAAAGATTTGTCCCTGCACTAAGTGGCTTAGCCCAGGGACCATTTAAAGATTTTTCTAGGATGTGTATTTCTGTTTTTTCGGTATCAGAGGAGGAAATGGATGGAAATCAACTTGTAGTAACTTGTTCGATTTCACAGAATAAAAATTCTTTCGTACCTACCTATGCCCTTATTGATACCGGAGCATCAGGATATGCTTTTATTGATGAATCTTTTGCACGCCACAACAATCTTACAATGACCCCCTTAAAATACCTCGCCATGTAGACATTATAGATGGAAGGCCTATCAAGTCAGGAAAAATTACCCATATTGTTGATGTCTCGCTAGACATTCATGGTCATCGGGAGACAGCGCCATGTTTTGTGACAAAGTTAGAACACTTCCCGATTGTGATGGGGATACCTTGGATGAGACGACATGATGTTACGATTCGACCAAAGGAAAATCTACTTGTTTTTGACTCTCGGAACTGTTGTCAACACTGTTCACTTAGTGGAACTGGAATTATCGTTCATGGCATCTCGATTCCTTTACCAGAACACTATACAGTCATCGTTTCAGCAACTAAAAGGCTACCATCGACATTGAACAGCTAGTACAGAAGGAGTGTCATCATTGTCTTCACATGTTCAAAGAATATGATGCTTCAATTCTTCCACCACATCGACCGTCCCATGATATCGAAATAGTATTGGAAGAAGGCAAACGACCACCATATGGACCTATATATGGATTATCTCAAATCGAGTTGAAGGCACTACGAGAATATCTTGATGAAAATTTACCCAAAGGATTTATTCGAGCCAGTGAATCGCCAGCGGAAGCACCCATACTATTCGTAAAGAAAAGCGATAGGACCCTTCGACTCTGTGTTGATTATCGAGGTCTAAATGCAATTACAATCAAAAATCGATATCCATTACCATTGTTGAAGGAAACCCTGGCTAAGCTATCAAGAGCACAATACTATACCAAGTTGGATTTACGTTGGGGATATAATCAAATTAGGATAGCGGAAAGAGATGAATGGAAAACGGCATTCCGAACTCGATATGGATATTTCGAATATACAGTGATGCCGTTTGGATTAGCTAATGCCCCTGCTACATTCCAACATTGGATCAATTATATTTTACGTCCCTATCTCGACCAATTCATAACGGCATACTTAGACGATATCCTTATCTATTCCGAGACTCTATCAGAACATAAAGAACACATTCAAAAGATTCTAAAAGTACTTGACGAGAATCATGTTCACCTTAAAGCTGAAAAATGTGAATTTATGGTTCAGGAAACAAAATATCTCGATTTAATTCTTACTCCGAATGGAAACAGAATGGACCCAAAGAAAGTTGTCGATGTTTTGGAATGGTCCACACCAAAAAACCTTCATGATATTCAAGTATTTCTAGGATTTGCAAATTTCTATCGACGGTTTATTTTAGGATATTCGAAAATTGTTGCTCCGCTTACAGTTTTGACAAAGAAAAACGTTAAATTTGAATGGACGGATGAAAGGGAGGAAGCATTTCAGACTTTGAAAAAGATGTTTACAACGGCACCAATCCTAGCTCATTTTAATCCGGATCGAAGGATTGTGATAGAAACCGATGCATCTGATTATGTTTCAGCAGGAATCCTATCTCAACATGATGACGAAGGAATCCTACATCCAGTCGCTTTCTTCTCTAAAAACACTCTCCTGCAGAGTGTAACTATGAAATCTATGACAAAGAACTTTTAGCAATTATACGATGCTTCGAAGAATTGCGACATCACCTGGAGGGAGCTCAATTTCCAATTGAAGTTCTTAGTGACCATCGGAATCTTGAAAATTTTATGACAACAAAATTGTTAAATCGTCGACAAGCCCGTTGATCCGAATTCCTTTCACACTTTAATTCCTTATACAATTTCGGCCAGGAAAACAAGGAACGAAACCAGATGCATGGACTAGGAGATCAGGTGATCTGCCTAAAGAGGGGGATGAACGGTTGACGCATCAGAGTCAAGTGATTTTGAAGCAAAAAAATTTGGATACAAAGCTAAGTTTGTTCGCGGGTTCTTTGTCAAATGAATCCGCTGAAGGAGCGTCAACTGTAGAGGAGTTATTTTCAAAAGCTTACCAAGTAGATAGTTTTCCAAATAAGATCCTTACGATGCTTCGGAATGGCGTTCGCCACTCAAACAAAATTTCGCTTGCCGAATGCACGGAAGATAACAATGGTCGGCTACTTTATCGAGGTGCACTATATGTACCAGACGACAATGACCTTCGGCTAAGGCTTCTAAAAGAACATCATGGTAAACCATCCACAGGACATCCGGGTAGAGCAAAGACATTGGGACTTCTAAACCGAGAATATTATTGGCCACAAATGCGAAAATATGTCGACCAGTACATTAGGAATTGCAATGTGTGTACCCGTAGCAAGGCACCATGCAATGCACCTTATGGAGTACTCCGTCCTATGCCGATAACTGAGGGACCGTGGATGGATATATCGATGGATTTTGTTACTGATCTTCCTGAGAGTGATGGATACAATGCAATCTTGGTTGTAGTGGATAGATTAACCAAAATGCGACATCTAATACCAACGACTAAAGAGGTAGATTCAAAGGAAGTAGCAAGGTTATATATCGATAACGTTTGGAAGCTACATGGATTACCTGATACTATTGTATTTGATCGAGGAACATAGTTCATTGCGGAGTTTTGGAAATCACTTTGTGATCGGTTGGAAATATCGTCGAAATTCTCTACCGCATTTCATCCTCAGACAGATGGACAGACGGAAAGAATTAATGCTGTAATGGAACAATATCTTCGAAGTTATGTTTCCTATCAACAAGATTACTGGGCTCGATGGTTACCAATGGCTGAATTTGCGAACAACAATCATGCCTCCGAAACAATAAAGGTCTCCCCGTTTTATGCCAATTCGGGAAGAAATCCAAGGATGACTTTTGGCCCTTTGGAATATGGTCGAATGACGGCGGAGGATCAAGCGAACCGTATTGCAAGAGAAATGAAGGATGTAGTGGATTTTCTAAGAGAAGAGATGTTCCGGGGTCAAAGGATACAAGAAGAGTCAGCCAACAGAAATCGGACTCCAGCTCCTCGTTACCATTTAGGAGATAAGGTTTTCCTATCGACCCGTCATATTCTAACAAAGCGGCCTTCTAAGAAATTTGACTGGAAACGTATTGGACCCTATAGCGTTAAGCGAATTATCAATCCCTATGCTTACGAGTTGGAACTTCCCCGGTCAACGAAAATTCATCCAGTATTTAATGTTTCGTTATTGTCACCCGAAGCAAATGATCCTTTACCAGTACAACAACAATTATCACCACCTCCAGTTGAAATCGAAGGGGAGGAAGAATGGGAATTTGAAGATATTTTGGATTCGAGGAAACGAAGAGGAAGGTTTGAGTATTTAGTACAATATGCAGGATATGATGAAGCCTCCTGGCAACCACTATCAGACCTTGAGCATTCACCTGATATCGTCAAACGATTTCACGAGCGTTATCCAGGGAAACCTAAGCCTACCAGGAGGTAGGCCTTAGAGGGGGGCGTGGTCTGTAACGGCAGCTATGGATTTCGGTTAGGTGATAAACTGGAACGGGAAGAGGAGGTATTATGCAGTGGGGTTAGGATTTGTAATGGGGATTTCTATTATGTTCTTTTGGTTTCTGTTACGTGGAGGTATTAGTCATCATTGGATTATGGTTGGATATATAAGGGGCCGTTGTCTTGTACTTTTGTTTGTTTTCTCTCTTTCCTTCTTTCTTTACGCAACCTTTGTATTCTACTTCACGAATATTATTCTTGTTCTACGCTACGTCATAGGGTTCAGTTTGATTGTCAGATCAAACAGAGCCACCCTATAGTCCATAGTCACGAACATCTTCTACTACGTTCTTGCCTCGATTGTATTCCTTGGCATCATAGTTTCTTGCCCATAGACCCACGTTATAATACGCTGTTTCAAAGACGTAGGTATAGTAATGGAACTATTTCAACTGTCTCATGTATGAGTAGATACAGGGCCTGATTACATACTGAGAGTTATTGTTAGAAGCCATCTGCAAAGTGATATGCAAGTACCGGCAGTGTGGTTAGCTACAAGCTGTTGGAGTAACTACATTCTGAGCAACAGGAAGGAGATCTATTCATGGGAGCAATGAATGACAAGTTTATGCCTCGCCAGTAACTAGAATGCCAGCCAGAGTGAGGCTCTGATTGCCCGATGATCCTCTATATCCTCTGAGTATTGCAGGTCCGCCGATAGTTGTAGAGACTATGCCAGGTAAGTCTACAATAAGTGAAAGCTCTACAGCAATGATTAAACTTACACCTGAGTGGCAGCTCATTCATGCAGGCTCCAATTGTATGGCAACCAAAGCTGCAGGTGTTACAAATGCTTTGACTAAGGGTGGTTGCTTTGGGTATCAGAAACACCAGTTGGCGCTTAGAGAAAAAGTGGTGTACCAGTGGTGGTGTTTCCCGGATCGAGGAAAGGCTCACTGGAACTTAGTGAGGAGTTAGGAGCAGAGAATAGAAGTCTTCAGAGTATAAGTACTCAGGCTCATTCTCCCTCTTCAGTCCTGTTCTCTCCAGTCTTCATTAGAAACAAAAACCAAGTTCTTATTGGTAGCAGAGCCCTTAAAGATTATTGAGTTCTAGCGATAGTATCTTGGAATAATCTGCAACCTGATTGTCTATCTTGTATGGCCGTCTCAAATCTATCCTATTCTATTTCTCTTAGAAGAAACCCCCATTACAGGTATGAGCTGTGATTAAAGTGATCTACTGTGAGATTCTTTTTGTACATTATAACAGGGAAAAATTACTATAGATTATAATGATGAGCTTGATATATATGTATAAACATCAGGTCCACTTTGATTATTTAAGAGATATTAATGTCACTATTAGACTATGGAGCAGAGACGCAGTGCTTGTATTGAGGAACTAACGTAGAATGAATGAATCTTTCATTCGCATTGAAGCACAAGATTTATCACGCACCGACTAACTACTCTACTAACTAATACTAACTATTCGAAGCAGTCTCAGGTAGATATAACGTGTGATAGTGAAGATAAGGGACGTAAATAAGAAGTGGTACAGTTGAACAAGAACTTAACACAATAGCTGATTCTTCTTATGTTCTTTGGGCTGGAAATATCTCATTCTCCAGAAATTCAAAAATGTCTTTCATGTCCTGGTACATACCGCTGTCTTTGTCTTCCGCCTACATAATGCTATGTTCTAAGAGTTGTAAGGGTCTGAACGTCATTCGTGGATTGCATCCTGTGTTAGCAAAGAAAAGGGAGATTTTAGTTGTTTCTGACACTTGATTGTTGGTAGCGAGTTCAGTCATAGGAAGCATTTGTACCCAATATTTAATTGAATTCCATATTACTATAGTGTTCTTATAAGCAGTAGCATTAGCAGAGTCTTTTGTGTGACGTGTTAGTATTGCTATTGTATTTCAATCAAATGCCGGACTGCTCCTGTACAAGTACTTGTTGAATAAATGTAAATGCAGGATTGATATATTAACAAAAACATATATTCTCACGATTAAGCATCATAACCTCAATCACAACAGTTTAGTTCGTCAAAACCTTTGTGGATATTTATATCACATCAGGGGGTTAGATGAAGTTTACAATACTTTTTAAAAAACAATTTTTTCTTCCTGGGGGGCTCGACCTATTATAGTTCTGTCAGTAGTTTGTGCGAAAATGTTTCTCGAAACTTGTTCTTGTGTAATGGTAATTAAGTTCAGGTCGAATACCTTCTAATTTGCACTGGCCGTGGAAGCGCCGTAGGGATCGTCTACACGAGTGTCAATACGGTTGACACAGTCATAACTCCCAGGGACACCGCAACTTACTGCTTGGGCCTCTGGTGATATGAAAATGGCTTTCGTTTCTACCTGCCTAGCGTGTACCACCCAATCTCGTTTGTCACTGTATCACCTCGTCAAGGAATATTTGTACCCTAGGTAGCATGTGATATTCCATAGAACTTGATGGGTTCGAATGATTATCGACCGGATTGGATGAGTCTGTAATTGTAATTGTCACTTGTGGTACACTCACTCACAAGCTGATGTTGGATCCTAATCGTGGTTGACTGCAATATGATTGAACGTGATGTCGCTAGATATAGAGCTAGTTAACTCTACTAATAGCTATTATATTACCTTAAAACTCTGTCCTCTATCACAGAGGGACGCCATCATTCTCTGAACGGGGGTACTGTTTACCACTCATTAGATAGCATCGATTATTGGGTTATGTCAAATAAAACTAGAATTGTGGGACGTTATATGTAGCTTAATTTGGTTGACGATAGCTAGTGCGAGTTTAATAACATACAAACGTATAACTTTCGATCTCCCTCCGACAGTTTTATAACTAACAGTAACGGTAAAGTAAGGATACACAACACCGATATATATAACTAAAGGGCAGCGGTAGTACTAGAAGGTTCCCTTTCCTTGATAGCCTCCTCAAGCTTCTCCATAATCAGGGGGAAATCTTCATCGATAAAGCTCCACATAGCCTCATAATCAACTCCATTTTTCCCTGGAATGTTGGAATACTCGTGCCCTGCACTATTCCTCATCTTCTTAATACGCTCACAGTAGACGAGTCCAATAATATCTCTTAAGGTCTGTTGAGGTTTGATCCCGCAAAGGCTAGACGACAGTGCTATCACATTCATTAAGATAGCAGCGCGTCCATCTTCTTCAGGGGTGGAGGATGTTTCTCCTTCGACAATCCCGACAAACGTCTAAGGCAAAGTTAGTTTCAACGTCTAGGAGATGATTGAGTATTGACAATAACCTCTTTAGTGAAACCCCATCTTTGGCATTGTTCTTTGATTTTGAGCATCAGAGCCACCCCCTTTTGAAGTTTAGCCAACGTCATGCCTTCGGGTTCCATTCTTGCAGGACTCATTTTGACTGTTGAAATGGAAGACTGAGCTCGTGTGATATGTGTTATGGGAGATGATTTTGCGATGCGTAGTGATTGATACCTAGCTAGCTTGAAAGTTTATAATTTATATAACTCAAAATAAGAGGCTCATCTGTAATGTTTATGTAATACTGCCTCTGTTTATATTGTACATACACACGCATATGAGTTGTCATTGCATTTGAAAAGTAGTCCATCCATGTGCCTTTAGGGCTCAACAGAGGCTCATCTAGTGGAGAGATATAGTATAAGCATGCGAATTGGGTCCAATCATCGATATGTAATCTGACGTACGCGGGAACTCTATCCAATCATGAGTAGACCAAATAAACGTATTGAAAATCCAACTAGTTAGGTTTCAACACCATGCAGGAAGTGTAAGGACATACCCGAAATATATCTACATAAGGGAGGCATGCAGAAACATATACACATGTGCATTTATGCACGAATCGAACTATTAGCTTGATCGATCGATAAATACGCCAACAATACCAAAGCCGAGTGACATTTCATGATTTACCATGCACGAGAATTTAAAATTAATGGAATATGACACATACTTGCAGTGATCCTATCTTCGTAGTGCCAATAGTCTTAGGGAAAGACCGGAACGCGTCATCTTATGATGGCGTAATTCCAAGCTTTTGGCGTATGGTAAGTGCTTAGCTATATCTATACATTTACCGATGAGAAACTTCTTGGGTAGGTTATCGCTCGATCGCCCCATTGGAACACTTTCGAGTTCAAACGTAGACTGGATTGATTTAGAAAGGTAATGCCCCAGGCTCAGCTGATCAACCTCAATACACTTTCGTAAGAGATGATCGGCTCTTTCACATATAGAATACTACTTGTACGTATACTTGTAGTACCCCGCTGGCGTCGTATATGCGTATGTTGGTATAAAAAGCCGACGCTTGATTAATGAAACGTTATAAGAGGCTCTGCGGCGTGGCCTTACCCGAGAGATACGTGCTTACCATATGACAGTTCATCTTTCTACCATACTCCATCACATTACGCCAAAGGTCACTAGAAGGGATAGAGCCTCTTTTTACTTCGCACTTTCCGATACTCTAATGTTTTTTTATCGAAATTTGGGACTCATACTATCGTCAATCCAAAGTATAGTTGTCTTATGTAACTTACAAAGTCTTCACTATCAGCTGCTAAATGGACGCTGGGGACGACTGCTAGCCTCATCTTATCGGCTCTCGGTGGACGAACTGCAGAAGACGACTGAAAGCCGTGAAAGAGGATAAGTTGTCTGTATGTTTCAGTCTTGACTTTTGACATCGTAAATTGACAACGATGAAATCGAATAGGTCCGAGTTCGGTTACATTACTTACCTAGTTAACCATTCGATCCTGGCTGGACGTGAATGCTCCGTCGTGTGGGTTATCATTCACGTATTGAGGACTCGAATTGAAAACTGGAGCATATTACGTTATGATGTAACCTGGGTTCACTTGTACGATATGCGAAGACTACCAGAGTGTGTGAGATATTGGACGCCTTCAATTACTCTTTGGAGCTCAAAGGACTGTCGTATACAACAAACACCTTAGCCATTTCACATCAAGCCAATACCATACTGGTCAAAAGATAAAGAAAAAGAACTTTGCTAACTGTTGTATTAGTTGTATAGATGTGTCCTCCCCGGTTACTGAGCTCACTTTTAAAGCGCGGGGTACAACCTATATTTTCTACCCAGGCGGGGCTCACAAATTATGGGGAAACAATTTACAAATAAGGGCGGTCTATAATGGAATGGAAAAGCTCTATTGGCAAAGAAATCCAACGATATACGGCACCTGATAAGGAAAGAGATGTTCCGTCCAACTTCCATAAACTAGAATATCGAATTGGCTAAAGCTCCCTATTAGGGTTTCAAGGTCTTCCCTGGAAACAAAGATGGAGAACATTCCTGAAGCTGTCCATCTACCTCTAACCGACCATATATACAATTAACCAATTTATATAATTGCTCAACGCCCAACGGGGAGATTCGACTATTCCTGGAAAGTATATGGAATACTAAGTCTCGAGGCGCCGTGTATGAATACTCCTAGACAGAGACCTATCAACTCTAAGTGCCGGACTGTTATTAAATAAGAGATTTAGCTTGGTTGTCGCTTAAACTACCATAAGGATCGGAGGCGCGGCTTTTTAAAGGAAGAGTCGGGAGACAGTTTTATTCTTTTCGTTGTACAGAATTTGGCGAAATAAAAGCCCAAACCTTAACAATAATTTTCCAATGAAGGCGGTGATTGAATTTGAATTTTTAAGTTTATTTCGATTGCCTGGCTGCTTTCAGCCAGATATACGCCGTCTCCTCTACTCCACGCTGGTGTTTGGCCAACAAACAACAAAAGTAGTTTGATGACAACGGTACCGTTTTGGGACCATAAGCTTGTGTTAATGTGTGTTAATGTGTGTTGAACTAAAAGAATCAATGGGAGAAGGAGTGTATGTGTGTGTGGCACCTTGTTGTGGAATCCAAACTTCATCTCTCGATTGCTAGCCCCGCAGATAAGCCGAGAAATTGCATCGAATGAGAAAGAGAGAGATTTATGGGAGCGTGGTTCAGATCAAGCAATTATTAGCGTTAGCCGCTATCTCGGCATACATAGAGGGCAGTCGTTCTACGTCACTCCACGAAAGCTGCTAGTTGACAAATAGGAAATTCTTGGCCAATTGAATTCAGGGCAGCCTGAAGCAGACCTTGCAGCTTGGCTGTTTCTAAACATAAATATAATCCTCAACTGGCAATATTCGCAAATTCGAGGAACATCGAACACACGAACAATTTGAACACAAAGTTGTTCGGGCCCGGCTCCTATACGATCAGGGATTGTACTTTCTATTTTTACAGATTTGTCTCTTTAGAATTGGACATCTCAGACTATGCGCTGAGTCACAGAAAATTATCACGGGAGCAGTCACATAGAGGCGCTCGCGCGTTGGGAGCTTTACTTGGCCGATATTTCAGTTCGCTAGTACTGTAATTACTGCGTACATAGATTCCTGATGCTCTACAACGTAATAATATATTCTTATTATACCATTTAGAATTAATCGATAGGGTGCCGTTCACTGCGAACATATTGCTATTCCGTTACCTAGGGCTATCGTAATAATATTTACTTCAATCACGAAACCTCACTCGGGCGTGCACGTGACCTGGCATGGGCTGAAACCCACCAACTCGAAGATCATTCACAACGGCCAGCAGTGAGTTAGTGAATTGGCGCCTGCTAACAAGTAACTGAGAGAGCGTCCTTGACTTCGCTTCTATAAATACCTGATAAAATGCTTGCTGTGTCTTGTCTCATGCCCAAACATTTTGAGCGCGCTCCGTACAAGCACTTAATGAATTCATTTTATATAGGCCATCCCTAATCGTAGTGTTGAGCCATTGATATTTCCGTTTCAGGGGTGAATCACTGTGGAACTGGTTATGTGCTTTCTGGTCTGTCATTACATACCTGTACTCTTCAAAAGCAATCAAGAAGTTCGTGAGTGATCGGTTAATTTCGTAACCCTATCCCTTAAGCCGTCAGGACCGATTCCAATCCTGTTACTCAAACCCAATACGGAAGTCGTGATATAAACATCGCAGAGAAGTGCCCCGAGACAGAGGGGGTCGCGGGTGGAATGGTATAAAGTTGCCTATCTAAGTTTAGTTCACTATGAAATCAATGATTATTCAGCTAAATCCATCATAGCCTGGGAGCATTTTCCGGCGTAGTCTCTGGCGGTCATTCTTTCGCACATATAAATCTCGAAGTCACGCTCTTTCACTAGGTTAACTTAGAGAGGAGAGCGAAGGGGGTCCCGGAGAGTGGGAGGAAGAGGGGGTGCCTAAGGCACCCTAATATAATACCGAGCACCCCATGATTATTGAGGAAAAGGTTATATATATATATATCTATAATCCAGAATTATAATCCAAGTAGTCACAAGGTAGACTTCAAGAAGAGCAGAAACATTTGGGGCCTAGCCAGCCTGCTGGCAACCAGTGATCATGATGCATAGCTCCTCACACTACTTCTTACCGTTAAACAGTGATAGATCACCTCATCATGATCACTTCTCTGCAATGTTTATATCACGGCTTCCGTATTGGGTTTGAGTATTAACAGGATTGGAATCGGTCCTGACGGCTTAAGGGATAATAATAAGCCACTAGTTAGACTGGAGAATGAAGTTTGGCAACGCTCCACACGAGCATACAATTTACACGGCCAATCTTCCCGTTTAAGATCGGGAACAGGTATCTTCTAATTGGCTAAAGCCTTGCTGTTTGTTAGAGTAATACCCAAATCCGGTATGTATCCATAAACTCGGAATATGGTGGGGAGTGATCTACAATCTTGTGTTACAGTCGTTATGTCTTGCGTCATGAGGCAAGGTTAATCCTGGTATGTAAAGTGTGTATGTACCTACATATGCAGTGTGATTGTGGAGCATCGACATGCATTTGACACAAGTTGTTGATTTTCTAGAATACCATGTACTCGGTCTTATAAGAAGATGTGGGGCGGGGGCCGAGGGTGATACATATGTCCTTCATCACCGTGGTACAAAGTTTTGGTGGGGTGTGTGTTAGTAGCGCATGTGGATTGTACTGTAAATACCCCTCCTCCCCAAGGCAACAGCAATCCCCTGTTTGAGATGACGTTTAGCCTCTTGTAAATAACGGATAAATCAGTGTAGCGCCGCGTGTATGCGTTTCAAACCGCGTTTGACAATGGACGATTACCCTGCGGGAGAGTATATAGTTGGTCTCAAAGACCCCTCTTCCCATGGCGTCTTGATCAGCAACCTCTCTTCAATGCAGTCCACCAATAATCGGGGACTAACTCTAATCATATGGTTGCAGAATATTAAACCTGGCGAAACGCGTGTTACGTTCTAAAAGATCCAATGGATTAATAGGCTCTTCCCCGTCCCATTCAAATGGTCATTCTGTTGA